CTAGCCTCGCTTCCACGCTACTAGTCCCGGGCCGTCCGAGTGATCCGCCATATTTGCATTCGGTGTATAGAAAATTGAGGACTCAACCAAATTCAAAAATGTTTTGGCCAAATGCTTCGAATAACTAGTGGATTCGTTTTAGCGAAAAAAAAAAATGCTTTGGGGTTAGGTGTACTTTAACTGGCAAACGGACGTTTTCGCCCGCTTAGGGGTCATGCACTTTCTACCACTTGTGGCGTCATCAATTTAGGCGTCAATAGATACTCTCGATAAGCAGATAATAAAGCTAGGATATTTCTATCCGCACAACTGTCCGTTTTGGATATCAACCTCATTGTGATGTAGCTAATTGACAAAAAAAGGAGAGCAGTTTTTGGTACAAAATTGGCTGTAAAAAGGCCCATTACACCTAAAATCGATCAAGGTTCGATTTCCAGACTTTAAACATAATTAACACCGAACTTTTTAAGGCTGCCAGAAAGGATATGAAGAGCAAAAGCTAACAAGAGTAAAAGGGGTGAGAAAAAGGAAAGGAAAAGGGCAAGAAAAAAAGATCGAATCAGGCCAGCTTATGCGCATGCTCCAAGGTAAAGCATTGTACATTTTCGTACCTAATCCTCAGGACAATCTTTTTCCTCGGTTAGTTTTCAGCAAACTTGACGCCAATTCAGGGTCGTTGCAGCCAAAAAAGAAAACCGATTTAATGGTAAAAAACGCATTTTTGGAGTAAATTTGCCAGTTAAAGGGTTGATTCAGTAAATTAAGTATTTTTGAGCTCTTTAAACGAAATATTACCCTTATTAAACGTAAGGAATGCCATGGCTTCAGTTATGAACAATGATTTCTTTAGAATGGCAGCTATGGTCCCTATTCAATTTGTGCGGTCGCTTTCCACACTCTAAAGCGCAGAGCGGAAGTAAGATTTAATTTGCGTTAAACAAACTTTTCTGTTTTCAAAATTCTCATAACAATGTCTGCTTTGGTACAAAGGTAGTAATGAGCTACACAGCAAGACCGAGCAGACCTGAAACATGCAATGGTAGTTGCACGAATCTGAATTCCTTAATGCAAAAGCACGTGAACTTCCGCTGAATTATTGGATGTTGGAAGTTGATTATCTCTGGGTAAGCGGCTCAAACTCTGTCAAAACACCAAGGACTCAAGCTCAGCTGAAGTGTAACGTGTTATGTAATGAGTCAAATTTATTGACGTCATCTGCGATCCATTTATCAATTAGACTATGAGCTCGAGACTTCTATCGCATGATAGAAGTCAACTATCACGCATAGAAACCGAGAGCGAATAATCTAATTGTTTTAGTATAAATCTACTAATCGTTCAAAACTTTATCTAAATCCTCTTCACAGATTCTTCGAAAACGCCATGAAGCGACCGTCATTTTCTTAACAAGGGTACACTGCTACACTACTCACTATCTATCACAGAATAGATAGTAGCGTAGCCAATCAGAGAGCGGCATTCGTGATAGAACGCTAGTAGATTTATACTAATACTGAAAAGACGCACGACAACATGGAATCTATTTGTTAATCTGATTTATAAGTAGTTTGTCGCACATCTGGTGAAAATCCTGATAGCGCCAGATATACAAGATGTTTTAAAAAAATTGTTCCCGATAACATGCGCTCGACAAGTGACTTTGCATCAGTGCGCTAAAGGGGTTTGCTAACCCATGGAATAATAACACTAGGATCCACAGTGGTGGCAAAGTAATCATTAGTTTCCAGTTCTTCGTAATAGACAGAAGAAACTCGCGTACCATATGCGATTTTGAATGTAAATTTTTGGAATCATTCTCAATTATGTAACTTCTTTTTTTTTCTACAGTAATTTAATTTTAGAACATATTTCATTCCTTTCATTTTGTGACTAATATAATGATATATTTAGAACAGGACCTCTCTGTATATCACCGGTGGGTGAGAGAGCTTCCTGTAATAATTATTATTATTAATACATATTCTAATATCACTTCCTTTTCTTATTTCCAAAAGAACCGTCTGCTCGTCATTTTAAAACAAAATCTCGTCATCGAAATTGAAAAAAACATCGAAATTTGATAACGATGAACGCCATTTCAGTAAAGTTATTCCAAGAACGTCGCCTCATCTACGCAAGCTTACACGATGGGACTAATTGGTGGCCGGCGAGTCTTGGTATTCATTAGAATTGTGCACTGTCAGGGGAGAAAAGAAATCGATAATGTCTTATTCCACGTGAATTATTTGTTCAACGTTTGTTTCAACACTTAAGAGATCTATGAATTGATTATGTTTGCTTGTTTGTTTGTTTCTTACTGGGGTTGTTTCAGTTTTGTGGGCCTTTGCAAAAGGTTAGATGTTGAAGGACCTTGGTCAGCCGCCATTTCCTAAGACATCGAAATTATTGATATTGCATGGTGAAGCGAAATCTCATTGTTTTACAGCAAATTGTGTCCCTCAAAGTATGTTTTTAACATTATCGTTAGTAGTTCTACTGTGATTTCCTTCGTTTGGACATGCTAGGAATGAAATATAACAGCCAAACTCTCGCATGTAAACAAGAACAAAGGTGTGGATCACTAAGGCCCTTCAAGTTTATACGTACACCGCTGGCTTCCTATATTTATGATTATTTCCCGATGCAGTCTTCTCTTACAAACACGTTCGTCAGAAACCTAAAAACTAGGTTTCCCCAAAAAGGCATTCATCAATGAATAATAATCTAGCAAAGACAACGTTATTTTATCCCCTTTTAAATGGTTTTATTCAAAAACTAAAATTAAAGTTAACAGCAAGCATATTAAAACTTAAAAAAAAATGAGTGAAAAATGCTCAGTTGCGTAAAAAAACTTGATTGAGCCATTTTATCTAATACCAAAACAGAATTAAAATCTTTCCCAAATATCACGACACCATTTTTTTGGTTGTTTCTCTTGTTTTCCGTTTTTTTGTTTTGTTTTGTTTTTTCCGGGCAGAACTGTAGGTGACTTAACACTGGTCACTAAACCTTCTTTATGTATGCGTTGTTGTCACAAGAAGGTAGAAGAAGTTGAAATCTGCTCTTAGTGTCATACGAAATGTACCCCTTTGTCTAACACACGAGTTTTATCCCATCACCAAAGCAATGCAAATTATAGTGAAATCACATTGTTCAGAACTAAATCAGTTTAGTGTTCGAGATTCCTTGATCCGGTAGGTATCCAGCGGCAGAAGTTAAACAACCATCAGTCTCACAACATGCCCGACGGTCTTCTTCGAAGTTCGACCAGTGATGGTCGCCAGCACTTCGTCACCTCCTCCACGTGGAGCCGAGGACGGTGCCTTGAAGGTGACAGAGAAGAAGCTCTTCCGGCCTTGGCGAACGGTGATGGAAGTACGACGAAGATGAGCTACATATTTCTGGCGATCTTTGACTTTGATGTCAAAAATCTCGGTTGCACCGGTGTTGTAAACCACAAACATCACGAAGCCGCTTCCCCCTGCGGGTATTGTGTACTCGTTTCTGGCGTAAAGGACTCTGATCAGGACATGGCTCGGATGGACTGTGTTGTGCGAGATGCGTTCGAAGCTGTACCCCTTCTTTGTCATCCCTTTCAACTTCAACTTAAACGGTGCTGATGGAGGAGTAAAGGTGGCCGAGAAATGAGCACCACTTGATCCGTGAGGAGTCACAGCTGCTCTTCCTAGGCGCTTCTCATCCGTACTCATCAAATCAAGGCTCAGCGACTTTTTGTTAATCTTATTTGCTCCAGCAACTGTTAAGATGACCACAGCTTTCTTGCCTATTAAACAGACATATTCATTAAACCCACGTATTAAAGTTATCCAGCTTTAAAACTCATTGATATATAATTCATCAAGTTTGGGGGAGCAGGGATGGCGCAGTAGTGAGAGCGCACGCCTCAAAAAAATGTTACACAGGTTCGATTCCGGCCTGGTGCCATATGTGGGTTGAGTTTGGGGTTGGTTCTCATCTTGCTCCCAGTTCTCCGGTTTTCGACCAGGATATATAGAGGATATTGCAATTTATTCAGTTTCAGCGAAGGGAATCATAAACGTGTTTATGATTGGATATTGGATCTTTATCGCATCGTAATTTATTTTTCAGTTTTTTCCCCTCCTCAGTTTAAGTTACGATTTTAAATATCGCAAAATTGACACAAAATTTCCAAAAACGTAGAAGTTCGCCACAAATGTACTCCGCGTCGTCTTGTCTGTTGTTGGAAATGCGATGAAACAATTTCTCGTTTAAGATATATTACTTCATTACCAGTTCTTCTTTAGTGATGACCAGAAGAGATGGAGACGTAAAAAGGGATTATATTACAATGATTTTCAACAAGTGTGAACTTTCCTGCATGCAAGAAGGTTAATCATGTTAAAAAAATTAAAAAAAAAAAAAAAACGGAAAATAATAATACAGTCAGAAGCATAAATGGAATAACGCGCTGGATAAAGTATTACAGAAGTTTTTCGTACACATTGATAGGTCTAAATTACGAGTTGTTACCATATGTTTGATAGACCATTTCGAGCAGAGAGTTTCCCTCAGGTTTGCAAAGGATGAAACCGGGATCGGAGAGTATATTATTTTTGTTTTTTTTGTTCAAAAAAAAACGTCGACCACTCGCCATTACACCTCGTATTGAACACGAACCTGAAAATTTTAAACAATAAAATTTCGATGATTCCAGCCAGATTAAAGAAGGCGAAAATGTAAACTGGGGTTAACAAAAGTAAAAACTAATTATGAAGGTCACTGAAGGAAGGAAATGTATTACGAAAGTCTAATTTTTGCGTTTAATGCGTATGCGCAACTGGAAATTAAATTGAACAGTGCTAAGTGTGTTCCGTGTTGCTATTTATTTATCTATTTATTTATTTATTTCACTCACTCGATCGAAGATCTACTAGTTCACGATATGGCATTAAATCGTGTGAAACACAATATCATACTGTTAACATGAAGTAATCCTTATGCACTGTGTTAAATATTCTCCATGGAAGCACTATCCCTTGTTTTTGACTAGGGGTATGAAATATACAAAATAAGTGATACTCACCCAGGAGAGGATGTGAAATTGGTATTGGTTTTCTACTTCTTCCGCGGGTTGGAATCATCACAAAGAAGTATTCGAAGTCGACGTTTGTTTTGCTGGAGCCTTTGATCAAGTAGTTATGTTTTCCAGCTCCGGAAACGATCAACTTCCAAGTTCCCGGCCTTGGGTGATTGATCTCGTAGATGGCCCCTTTGGACAAAGATATCTTTCCTGAAGTAACAGAAGCCCCTCTTGGATCTCTGAGATTGATGCTCGGGCCCATTCGCTCGGTTGAAACCGAGATGATAATCTTTTCTGTGGAGTCATCAACAAGAATACTGTATGAATAGGACGATCCCCGTGGACTTCGCTTCTTCTTCCTGCTTGAGCTCCCACTACTTCCTCTCACGAGGCAAGTAGTTCCTGCAAGTGTTACGTCTGTAATGTCAGATAGTCTACTCAGCTCGGAACTACTGGGAAGTTGGAGCATCTGACCACATGTCTCACTAGCAAGTTCCTCAAAAGGCCCATAGGAAGGGTGGCCACACAGCCCGGTCGTAAAGAAGTTTATTGTGATACCGCTATCGTACGCAATCGCCAGTGCTTCGTCAATGTTATTCCTTGTTGCATCTTTTGCTGTTGCGTCAGTGAAAACATATAGAGGCGAACCAAACCTTGGGCTTTCAGCCATACCATCTAGGATTCCCTTAAAAGTCAGCTCGGGGCAGTCTCCACCGCCGGATGCGCGTAGATCATTAATAGCGTTCTCGAACTGTATCCCTTCTCCGTCGCCTTTGTAAGTAACTGGGCCGGTTCCTTTAAACGTGCAATAAAGCAATAAAAGAGTTAGTGTTAACCATGGTGCAAATTTAGTCTGTTTTCTAGACATTGGGTGGTTCCATCATTTTCATTTAAAGGTAGGAGTACTTTACAAGATTTATTAGATAATTTTAAGACTCATATGTACAGTCTGAACTCCGGATAATGGAACTTAAATGATCCCTTCTCCATCCCTAGTACGGTCACTCAATCAATAGACTGATCAACGGCGGTAGCAATATAATGTTTTTGTATGTGCAAACGAGAGTGGAAAACACACCGTAATTTGATTATGTAATAATGTTAACAGTTAAGCTTAACAAGAAGCATAGTCTCGTGAGTAGATGCAGAATACAAGTGAGTGCCTTTGTTATCGCTACTGAAGTACAAAAGATTTAATGAGTGTTCTGAGTAAACAAAAGCCGTAATCGTCATTATTACCTGGATCATTGAAAGGTGATAGAATGTAGTCCACTATCTCATTTCTTTGATAGTTGACAATTGCTGCTGCGATGTCCTTTGCTGCTTCAATTTCGCCCCTCATACTTCCAGTTGTATCAATAGCAAACATTAGAGTGACCTCGCCATTGACACTCATAAAAGTATCAAAAGCAGCATCACCGAGGTCTGCCCTGATCGAATCCAGAAAACGCCACGCTGCAGCTGTGGCACCACGCCTTTTACGACCACTATTCTTGTTCAGTTGTATTACCGTGTATAATCCACGTCCGAGGGCCTCGCGAGCGGAGAGATAGTTTCGTTTCTGAGTCGCTAATTTAATGTTTGCTTTGATCTTTGCCAGTCGATGCGCACTGTGGTGATATCGCGATCCAGCGGCCTGTGCTTCATATACTGCCCTTTCAATTTGAGCAACGGCGTCCATGAACTTGTTGGATGGCGATGCCTGCTTTGGTGGCGGAGATGGGGTTGGGAGGGGCTTAAACCAGGCAGCGGAGACTGAGGCTGAATTTAAAGAGCAAAGGCGATAAGTTACATTATGAGAACATACAGCCTCTGAGTGCTTGATGAGGGGAAAGAGGTGGAATTTATCTTTTATAAACAACTCCAAAACTTCTACAGACCCAAAGAGTGGTAAGTTGTCAAAAAAAAAAAAAGCAATCTATCATAATAAATATACTTCCATGCCCTGAGCTTTTCGCCGCAATAATAAACCTTGTTCCGAGGTCGCGGACAGTCCAACGCCTACCACGGAACTTAACGAGTGAAGCGATTACTAGATCCGCATCGAGTTGTAGTTTTCTTGATCCCCTATTTGCAATTATAATTTTTTTGAACAAGTGTCTTTTTTTTTCTCCTGGATGGATTTATAGTATATCCCCTAAATAACTACTGATTTTTTTCACGAAGTTGCCATAAACTCTGATTTTGCTCTCTCACGTAGACTGCAAGACTGTGAGTTGCTAGTGCTTTATAGATTGGCTTTACTCACGTCCCTGGCTTCTGATCAGCTGTCGGACTTAACTCTTCTTACACTATCAAAGGCTTTCTTGAAATCGATGAAACCAATGTACGAGAGTGTTTGCCATTCAGCACTCAGTTCTAAGAGATTCCTGAGGATAAAACTCTGTTCAGTTACCCCTCTTCCTCTTCGGTAGGCAGCCCGTTCTTGCCGTAATTTCTTCTCAATTCCATGCTGCATCCTCATTAGGAGCATTCTGCAGAAGACGTTGTATGGCACTGAAAGTAAGGATATCCCTCGGTAGTTGTCACAAATAGACGGATCACCTTTCTTGGGTATTTTGGCTAAGAGAGCTCTCTTCCAGTCAGATTGTACTTTACACTGGTCAAGAGTCTGATTGCAGATATTCAGAAGCTGATCCGGGGCAATTGGAGGGCTGGCTTTTAGCATTTCTGCGCTAATGTTATCCACATCGGGTGCTCTACCGTTCTTCAGCCGAGATATGACTTGTCTCAGTTCTAGGATTGTAAAGGGGCCAGTGTCCATCTCTATGGGATCTTCGCAGTCACCGAGCTGACACCCTTCAGGAAGATCAGGTTCTTCACAGGCCACATTCAAGATCTCATTGAAGTGCTCCTTCCACCTTTCAAGCACTTCTTCCTCTGTGGTGATGACTTTACCCTCTTTCGTCCGTATGCCAGTGCTTGGCTTCTTGAGGCACCCACTTTGTAGCTTCGTTTTGATGTACAGTTCTTTCAGATTGTTTTGGTGCGCTGCCCTTTCCGCCTCTTCCTCGACTCTTTCCAAGGCCCTCCTCTTGTCTGCCCGTGCTCTCTTTTTCACTTCCTGGTCTTTCGTTTGGTACATCCGCTGCCTGTTTTCCCTCACTCGTTCCTAGCGGCAGTTCAAAATGCTCTGTTTTAGCTTCCGTCGTTCTTCGATGCAGTTCCAGGTGGAGGGGCTCAACCAGTTCTTCCGGGACCTTGCTCTTTGTCCAAGTGTTTCAGTCGCCGTCGTGTGATAGATGTCTTTGCACCCTACCCATGCATCATACACACTTTAGTGATCATTGTTTAGAGCCTCAAAACGATTCTTCAGGGCTATGCTGAAGCTCCGCTTGTGCAAAGGATTTTTTAGCTTTGCAGTGTTATAGATGGTCCTTGAAACTTGTTTCTTTTTGTTCCTTGACAGCTTCAGGCGTATCTTGCATCGGACAAGGTGATGGTCACTTAATGCGTCTGCTCCTCGCTGTGTTCTGACATCCAGTAGCGATCTCCTGAATTTTCTTCGGATCGCCACATGATCGACCTGATTTCTGTCATGGCCATTTGGTGATGTCCACGTATACTTGTGGATGTCTTGGTGCTTGAAAGAAGTCTTTCCAATGACAAGACTGTTCTCAGCGCAAAGAGATGCAAATCTTGGCCATTATCATTCATAGTGCCCAGTCCTTCGTTACCCATGGTGCCTTCCCAGCCAGTGTTGTCAGATTCTACCTTGGCATTTGCATCTCCTAGCACGATCAGTAGGTCGTGGAGTGGCGTGGCATCGATATCCTTTTGGAGCAACTCGTAGAATGTATCCTTGTCCTCATCGCTAGCGTCATTCGTGGGGCTGTAGATCTGAATTACTCTCGTCTTCACATACTTGGAGAACAATTGTGCGCTGATGATCCTGTTTGTGATGGGGTTCCATTTAATCATGCACTTCCTTGTCTCCTCGTTCATTGCCAGGGCGACACCACTCTGGTGTCCTTCGTCACGTCCAGAGTAGATGATTGTCTCTCCCGTGGTTGTCTTCACTTCTCCGAAACCTGTCCACCTTACCTCGCTGAGTCCGAGAATGCTCAGTTTGTACCTCCTCATTTCTTTCATGACTGTTGCTCTCCTTCCGATGGTACATATTGTTCTGACGTTCCAGCATCCTATGTTTAAGTGGTCTTTGGGTGTAAGGAGGCATCGTTTACGCCGCCTTGTCGTGCTCCTGGCTTCCTTGCGGCTTTCACCCGGAGCAGTCATTGTTGCTTCAACCCAGTGGAGGAAACTTTCATCAGGGATGTCGCAGATCGCACTAGTCCGATCCCGGATAGCATTTGTTACTGAAGTGGTTTCTGTAGCAAGTTGGTTTTTTATGGGAGAGAGTTGCTGGTCCTCTGCCCAACCTGATTTTACAGATCAGGAAACTGTCGGACTGCAGTTCTGTAGCAGTAGCGCAAAATTAGTCCTCGAGCTAAGAATTTCTCCCGGGGATGTTATCGGCTGTTCCTAAAATAACCAGACCCGTTGCCAGATGTCGGTAGACTACCCTTGGGCCTTTGGTAATTATCATTTCGAGTAACAGTTGGGTCTCTCCTGTTCTTCCACGTAGCAAATGAGCTATCGTGCGTCAACAGATATCGCTTGACTCGCATCGAAAGATGGTGGGTGCATTACGGTCCTCTGACTTTTGATGAACTTCAATACAAAAAGGTCTTCTCGGAGGCGACTAAAATATTCATTAATTGCAAAGAAGAATTTGATCTATCATAAACTTATCGTTATTGGCATCATAAATGCGCTGTGGTTTCGTAGGCTGAGATTGAAGTTTGGTCCGCCTGTGTAATTTTCAAAGTGACGAGCTCGCCCCAACCTATTACAAGCACATAGCTACACTTTGATTTTCCATCACTTTAAAGTGTCGTTAGATATAGTCTACAAGTCTGTTGTCTCCTAAGGGTCAACCTTGAATTTGGCTTGATACAAATGATAAAGAAAAATAAAATAAACTCAAAGAGGGCGAACGTAACGATGCTGTAAACTTACTTTTAGACGACCATCCAAGTACAGCTGGCCGCATAATCGGCGGAGGTTTTGGTTTTGGTGAGCTAACACCAGAAGAAAATGACATCAACGCATTCCGAGTAACATCTAATGAAGACATGTAGAGATTGTGCGTAAACACCAAATTAGTCAGGATTGCTATCAGCGCAAGACAAAAAATTGCCTTGATATTAACGAAGAAGAGCAGAGTCCGGGTGGCCATTGCTTCTGCTAAAGACTGCTGAAATCTTACTACACCGAGCTAAATTTCGTATATTTATATCCTTATGAGAGGGCTACCAGAAAAATGAACGCGTATAATTACTTTGTGGCATCTATCAGTAAACAGTGAATAACAAGTTGAACTAGCCAATGTTTATGAAATCATACGCATTTTAAGTCATAATAATCTCAGGTTTTCACTTTGGAACTCTTTAATCGGTGCTGTTTTATTTTGATCGGTTTACAAATAGACTGAATTACAATACTAAAACGAAAAGGAGAATGATTGCTCAGGCGAGCGACTCAGTTCCGATCGTCATTCAATGATGTATTATTTTTTTGGTTCCTTGACGATAAAATGAATAATCATGGAGTTTGTACGCATTTCTTTTGTTAAAAAAAAAGAAAAAAAAAAAAAAAATCGNAAAAAAAAAAAAAAAAAAAAAAAAAATCGTAAATGCGCCAGAACACAGGATGCAATCTGATTACTTCAGTTTCACTAGCAAGCAGATACTGCATGTTTGACTTAGACAGTAACCTGGTATTCCTTTCTCAAAATGAGAGAAATTTAAAGTCGTTACGAGCTTGTGTGGAAGTTGAGAACACAACAGACGGACGGTAAATACAAAAATTTAGGCTTAAAATAAATTTCATTTATTTTGAATTGCATGTTCAACCAGTGGGTGGTGAGAATATTCTTGTAGTTTATAAAGTTAGCAAACCTTGAAAACCGATTTTAAGACATTTCTGTTATCGCAGTTTTTTTTTCTTTCCTTACTCTGTTCAGTTGGGCTTTCCTATGTTAGCGTGCCGTACTATGCCAGTTGATCTAAAGAAGAGGAAAAGTTAAATGGTTTAGCTGAAAAGTGGCGGCGCTGCATACTTAAAAAGTTAAAAAAAAAAAAAAAAACGAAGTAAACAGACGAAAGATCCTGAAAAGACGCTTTATCTTAATTCGTTTTCCATTAAACAATGATTCGCGCCAGAAAAGCAACATAGTAACTAGTACTAATGACGGCCCTTTCGAAAATTCCAAATAAAAGAAAGTACATATAATTTCCTCTGCCAGTATTTGCCATCGTGTCGATGTATTTGTGTCAATTCGGGAAGTTCAGAAGATTCGGACTGAATCTTCATTAACAACAAAATAAAGAAATCGCACATTTCTCGCCAGGGTGAATATGAAAACAGGACTATTAAGTAAACGCATATTAAAGGAACTGAGGTTTTAGTTTCCTTGAAAGATCAATATTTTGACTAGTATCTTCCACCCTAATTCATCGATACCAAAATTTGACTTATGAAAGCGCCGAAGAACAAACAAGTGCTGAACTAAACAAAGAGAATTATAATTATAGAATATCAAAAGATCAAATCCCGTATTTCTGAGGAAAACTCTCATTAAAGTTCTTGGTTTGAAAAATCGTACTACCTGTAGTGTTTCTGTACGTATCAGACGATCAGTTCAGTTTGCTTTTAGTATTTCTATTCTTAGCCAAGTTTAGTCGCTAGCGCTTCTGTTAAATTTGTGAATACGTATTAACAGAAAATAAAATGATTGCATAGAAGTTAACCTTTATAAAACCAGTTACCTCTTACCATTGTGAAAGTTTGAATTGCATGTCCTCATTCAGTTTATCTATCGAAGATACTACCCGAATTAAACGTTATATCTTTTCCAGAGCTGCGCGTCTTTTTTTCAAATCTCCATTGCGCGTTTATTTGAAAAAAAAAGTGTATGTTTGGTAATCTCGAGCGGAGCGTACATCATTAAAACGAACAAGAAAAAAAGGGAAAGGAATCAACGAGTTCTGACACATTGAAGTTGAACTAAATTCTAGAAAGCTGTTTTTTCTAGGTTTCAAACTACTTTCATATATTGATCATGAGTCTTCTTTTTACAATAATTGTTAGAAATAGAGCCATACATGTTATTTCGTGAAAGTCAATCACCTAACTTGGATGTACTCGCTGTAGTGAAGTCCTTGAATCTATGCGCGCTTATGTATTTACTCTCTCACCTTTTTATTCTTCGCTCCCTATTCACCTTTTTGTCATAAGTTTGTCTGAATTTCACTCATAGGTTCCTCGCTATATGCGTTGTCTCTGCCGTTTTCCTTTCCGTCCTCACCTTTTAAACCTATGAAATATAATAAATCACTGTGAAATGCTTTTTGTGCTACGATCTATACAACGTTAATTTTCCGGTCACAGTATCGCGGGTGTTGTTACGATGTACATGCTCGCCTTGCCATTTTAAAAAAGTAAAGCTAAACAAATCGAGCACATTCAAATTTAGACAAATACTCTAAATGCCCCCCAAAAGGTAAGTTCCACTTTCCCATACAGGTGTCGTCTTAACTCTAATTGAGTGTTACGAAAATATCAGTTACAACATGCATTGGCGATATTTTATAATCGCTGAGGCAACGAATCATTAGGAATTAAGTACGAGAGAATGACTTATAATTACATTAAAACAGTCTAGTCCAACTAGAAAAAAAAAAAAATAATAATAATGATTGGGATCGATGCGGATGATCGAACACGTCAAGGCAGTTCCAAAGACATGCCGAGAAACTCGGAGAAAAATCCCCTGCTCCGTGATTTATGGGATTTCACTGAAGAGTATTGAGCATTTCACGACCATCGCTCCAAAGAGTCTGGAGAGGAAAAGAAAGATACTTGGCTCTAGAGTTTCTGCCACGTAGCGCAGGTTACTTGTTTCTCCAGCATTCTCTCTGTTTCGCTGGTTTCTGCCCAGTTTCAAGCTAATATGAATTTTATTTTCCCCAGAGGGCTACAGAAACACGCTAGTTTCGCGTATCGTATATTAAACGCCGAATTGACACACTTTTTTTGTTTTCCTCGCCAGCAGACGAGGAAATGAAGAAAATGTCGCGCCATGTCAGTTTTGCTCGATACATGACAAACATAACATAAACTGTTTGAATTGTGAATTGGTCTCAAACTAAACAAGGAAGAAAAGGCTATTCAATGAAGTGATAAGCTTTTATTTAGACGTTGTGACTCTCTTTGTTTTGGTTTGACAACAAAGATCAGTATTTACGCAATTTCCTACATTCACCTCTGCTAAACTCAGTTGTGGACGCTAATTTGATTGGCACGGCGCCACAGAACAAACATTTTTCGACTACACTGTATTCGTGAAAACTCTTAATTCTTAAAAGTGACAAGTGTAATTCCCGCGTAGCCAGAGTAAAAGCCATTGACGAAGAACAAATTCCTCGAGCTGTGTTTTGCGTAATAGTTGTTTTAGCGGTAAAACCATCACTGGGCTTTCTATTTTTTAGTTTCGCTCTCGATATGTTTAGTCACTACAGTTCGTGCTGTACTTTTGACAATACCTCTCTGGTAAATAGTTTGACAGTTTAATTTATTCGAAATCTCTGATTATCCTCATAGTCTCACGCTGCCGGACAAAGAGTCTCGCTAATAAGACACGAGCGAGTATAAAGCAAAACACGTTCAGACTTCCTTTCAAAGTTTACCGCTACAACTCCGATCATATTGAGGTGCTAATTGTCGGAACATGACGTCTGCCCTTCTTTAATGGAGGTACGCAAGTCGTGAGAGGAGAAAGTAGTATTGGTTCAGATCAGAAAGTTGCCAGTGTCCACTATTTAGCAAAACAAAATCTTCGGGCGGGAGGCGAGTTGCGACGTTAATTTAGTTAATTTTGTGCAAAGAAAGGCTCGGAGCTGCTGTAAGCAGAATGAAATGAACGATATTTATCGAATTCATGGTAAATTTCGTCTTCCATGAGCTATTTAACCTTTGATTGCTACGGAATCGACAAACCGAAGTTGAGTTGCCTAACCTA